TCCACTGGCTTTTACCTGTCGCCGAGGTCAGGAGCGGCAGAGCCTGTGGTTGCCGCTGTGGGCAGCGCGCTCGATCGGCTCTGGCGTCCAGGACACCAAGTTGAGCTAGCACCCCACGTAGCCAGCAGAGCTTCATTCACACAGCCCCGCCACCGAGGAGGGGGAGCGGAGCAGGCGCGCAGCTCATGTGACAGGCGCCTGGCAAGTATCAGCCTCAGCCCATCCGGCGTCTGCGCGTGCGCGCCACAGTGGGTCCTCACCCGGCACCTCAGCCAACTTGGGAAGGCGGGACGCGGGCCAGGGAGGAACTGCTGGGAGGAGTTTCAACCTGCGCAACCGCAGTAGGTCGGCCCTGCTCGCTGCCATGTTTAATGGGACTGGGCGGTTCCTAACTCAGTAATGGGCGTGTCATTTGCGTTTGGAAAGCAATTTCCATTAAGTTTCACTGTTTCCAGACTTAAGTATTGTGTGTGTGTGTGTGTGTGTTTTTTCCAGGTTTTATCCTTAGAATGAAACTGTTTATCCTGAGCTTCTGGCCTACAAAATGGTTAGTAGTAGAAATCTAATACTGCTTACATTTTACATGTATTTTGAGTCTTTTATTCTATGCCAAACACTTTTAAGCCCTTTCATCTCATTTACTGCTCACGCTAACCCCATGCGATATATACCATTATTTCTCCGTTTTTACTCATGAGATTACAGAAGCACTGAAAGATTAAGTAACTAGTCTGAGCTCACATAATAGCGGGAATAGGAAATCCTAGCAGTAATCAAATACAATGATGCTTATAACAACCAACTTGGTCCTCTTAACAACACTGACAAATCTATACTCCGGATACCAGTATTACCTACATTTTAATCGTTACAAAGCAGACTTGAGGAAAGCAAAAGACCTAAGACCTGTAAGTGGTAGAATTGAGATTCCAACATCCTAGGGTCTATCTGACTCCCAAGCTCTTGCCCTAGGGCTGGAAAAAACACCCTTCAGCTTACAGAAGAGAAAACTTAGGCCAAGTAGGGTGTATTTGCTTACTAAAAAGATCTAGTTAATTAGTTATTGGTAGAACTGAGAACGGAACCTATATAATCAACCAATATAATCTAAAACTAGAGCCCAAGTATTCTAATTCAGAAGCTGATGTAGTAGACAATTTTGAATGCTTAGTTTGGAAAAGTTAAGTATTCAGGGAAACAATACCTTGTATCCTAGCCCAATCCATTGTAAGGCCACCAAGGACAAATCTGTAATCTAACATAGGTTTTTGACCCATTGCATGAGGGAGTCTGCACACCAAAGAAACTGGGAGTTTCTTTCAAACAAAAAGATACATTTTAGTATTTGAAGGAAGAATAGAGTTTAGATGAATTTTAAACAAAGCAGTGTTTTGGTAAACTTGAAGGGTCGCTATCAGGCCTGGACTGCAAAATGAACCCACAGTTCCATTTCCTTGGGAACCACAAAGCATAGATGTGGAATGTGTCCAGATACCCCTTATCTGAAGTTCTGCACCTGGGTTGGAAATTAAGGCTCCTCTTTGCCAAAGAAAATTGTTATCTTTCAGACAAATGTGAGATGTTTTATTCTTACTGAAGTGATTTTAAGCAGCAAAAATTATGATAGTCTATGATTTTAGGGAACAAGGTTTCTCAGTGAATAAAAAACAGTCGTCTTCAAAGGAGGATGTTATCACTACACAGCTGCAGTATGTCTTTGGGAGAAATACTGTTTTCTGTTTAATTCGCAGTTAGCTTTATCTGTATCTATTATTCTGCCCTGATGAAAGGCTGGATTTTTGCTTTCTCTGTCTGAAGTAAATTTTACTTTCACACTTGGTAACATTCCTTCAGACACTCATCATGCACAGGATAGCCACAGAAAACTGTAATAGAAAGTATCAGGGCATTCCTCTAATAAAGGTAAATCCAAGCAGAGGTAACACTTCTGCAAAGACATGCAGAAAGGAAATTATCTGCGAGGATTATGACTAGTCCTATGTGATTGAGGCTTAGGGTAGGGCAGCATAGGAAAGTTTGATAAATATAACCAGAAGGTAAATTGGGACTCAGTTTTTGAGGATCCTGAATATTGGACTTACATTTGTATTTAATAAAAAAAATGACTGAGATAACAATTGAGGTTTTTGAGCAAGGCGATCCAATCACTAGAATTCTTCTTAAAAAAGAAAATAAAAGAATCTGGAGTAATTGTTCAAGGAGGGATTTGTTTGCTTGCTTTTATTTTTTTTTCTGTCAATGCAGGACAGAAGAAACGTGAGTCTAT